TCTTCCTCTCCGGCCTTTTCTCTTGCATTCCCCACCCCTCCCCACCATCATTCCCCATAGTACCAGCTATGATGAACTACTTGCATTTCCCTCAACATGACCAATGTGACAAATCATGCTTTTGCTCATGCTGTTTCTCTTCCTGGAATACATTTCCTTCCCCATCTGCCTAGAAATTTGATTAATCTTTCAAGATGCAGTGCAAACATCATCTCCTCTATGAAGTTTTTCTTGACACCTACTCTCTCTCCTGGTGTAGCCTGACCCCTTTCTCTTTCAGGTCCCCCTTCATCCTGGACAGATATCTAACATAGCATCTACAACATTTCCAATACGTTTATATATCTGGCCAGTCTGGAACATGGTTTTGTAGATGAATGGTTATCAATATCTCTACAAGCTCATAAAATCCCTCAAGTTAAGAACTATGTCTTACTCATTGTTTCCCCAGAATTTAGCAGAGTGTTTGGGTCATAGTAAGGGCTCAATAAATGTCTGATTAACTAATTAGTCCTCACTGTAAGTCTAAACTACCACTGTTTCCTTCTCTGGCTCCTTTCCTCCTTCTTGCCCTTGTAATATCTTTGATCACAGTCTTTGACTTTTTGTCTTCCCTTTTTATTTTATTTTTTTTATTATCTTCTCTTGTTTTTGCTGCCACTCTGCTAAACATCTCTCAAATCCACTATGTCTTTTCATCTCTCTACTGCTACTATCCTAGTCCAAGTTCCTATTACCACTCAACTAGGTCACTGCAGTAATCTCTGTTCATGTCTATTCCGGCTGCCTTCAAATCTATTATCTCTGCCCTACTTTTTAGTGATTGTTCCAGAATGCAAATCTGATCACGTCACCCTTGTTTAAATACCTTTAGTATACATAAACCCACTTCTTTTATAATAAAGACAAGAGTTCTGAGGTACTGGCCCCTTCCTGCCTCTTCAACTTTATCCTCGCCACAAACCACATCCCTTCCAGCCCACCCCAGTGTCACCTCACATACTGCCTTGTTCTTTCAGCTAGTGTCACCCTAGCACAAGACTTTTGGCCAGTCTATTCCACTGAACTTTCCCTCCCTCTTGGTCTAGTGGATCTTCAACTCGCACTTCAGATTTCAGCTTAAATATTTTTCTCCAGGAAGCCTTTTCTGGTCCCCTGTGTTATAGGCATACACAGCACAGGGTCCTGCAGTTTATACTTCTTTTTTTATGTTGTAACAGCCTCATTTATTATTCTGAAAGTTCCATGAAATCAGAAAAGGCCATTTTTCACCACAACATCCTTAAATCTTAGAATAGTACATGGCACATAGTAAATGTTCATTTAATGTTTTTGGAGTGAATGAAAAAATGAATTCTCTCAGCCACTGGGGTTCAAAAACTTGAAGTAATAATTGACTCATCCTGCTTTTTTATTCCCCATCTCCAAGTCCCCAGTCTTATGTCCTTCAATCTTGCATCTACGGTTTCCCTCCCGTTCCGGCTGTCCACATCTTTACTAAACGATACTCAGAATATCGCCGTATCCTCCCAGTTTATTGTCTTGTCTCTTTCTCTAACTATAATTTATCTTATATGATATGGTATAATCTTCCTTAAAAGCCATGTTTATCATGTTATATCCCAATTGAATACCTTTAGTGGTTCCTTATTTTTGTTAATACTTTATATATTTTGCTTGGATTTAAAGACCTCCATCTTCTGGCTCTAATCTATCTATGTAACTATTTTCTACTTCCCACCCGCTACAAATGCCCCACTCTTGAACCATGCTGATATCCCAGAAATCCATCATTTAAATCCCAGCCACCAATCCTGGGCCCGGAGTACCCCTTCCACAGCCCTACTTCTCCCTCTATCCAAACCCTATCCATGCTCCAGCCCCACCCCTGCCCCCTAAGGTTCACCTGCCTGCAGCCTTGCTCTGCCAGCTCTTCCCCTCCTCCAGGTCTGTGAGTTGCTCTTCCCTCCCCAATCATCCCTCTTATCTAAACAAGTCCTCCCGTTATTTACTCTTTAGGGTAGCTCTATGTTTTTTTGCTTCATGGCCCTTGACACAATGTGTCATTAACCTATTGTTTATTTGTTTTTCATTTCTCTTCTCAACTAGATGGTGGGTTCCATGAAACAAAGAACTTTTCTTCCTTGCTCTCTGAAAAACTCACAGTACCTAGCCCACTGTATGGCCCATAACATTTAATTAATGAGTATATTTATTAATATTATTTTATAAATAAATGTTTATAAATAAATGATTTGTCTTCCCTTTGAAAGGACCTCAGCATTCTTAACACACTTGAATCTGCACAGCTAGTATTTAGCTCTTTAACGCTGTTGCTTTTCATTTTTCTTTATCATCCTTAACTCCCTGGTGAGAAGAGATGAGATTATAAGATTCTTGATGACATGAACAGAGATAATGTCATACTGCTATGATCTCTACAGAATCTTGCCAGGAGGCTAGAGTAATTGTTCAATAAATACTTAATTAGAAATAAACTTGTCTTAGGGCCGGCCTGTGGCTCACTCAGGAGAGTGTGGTGCTGATAACACCAAGGCCACGGGTTTGGATCCTATATAGGGATGGCCGATTAGCTCACTGGCTGAGTGTGGTGCTGACAACACCAAGCCAAGGGTTAAGATCCCCTTACTGGCCATCTTTTAAAAAAAAGAAAGAAAGAAAGAAACTTGTCTTATCCCCTTATGCTCTGGCATTCATGTAAAAAAAATACTGAAGAAGCTCTCTCTGCTTGTAGGTCTTTTAAAAATACAGTGTTGACTTCAAAGAGGAAGTCTACACTTGAGCTTATACAAGATCTTTGTGACACACAGCCTGATGGTGGCAGTGGTAGTGGCAGTAATCTTTATTTCGTCATTTCTGAAAAATAGTAGTAGTAACGGATGCAAGTAAAAAGTTGAGTATCAGACAATTGCGTCTTATGATTGGATTTTTTTCTTTCCTGGACTTTTTCTTGAAAGGTAAATGCATTTACCACATTCTTTTAATCTAGAGGGAATAATCATTCACACACACAATAAATGTTAAATTGTTAGTGGTTTCTATCTTTTTTTCTGTTTGGTGGGGGAAGGGTTGTATTTGAATGGCTGAATTTAGTTGGTGGATTTTATGGCAATCAGTAAGATTCTCCAGCGCCAGACAAAACACAAAAAAGTGTACATAGCATTGTTTGTATTTTAATTTATCCTTCTGTCAAACGTTCAGATTGTCATTTTCAAAGATGAATGTGTTTCCTGCTTTTCGCGGCCTGGATTTGTAAGTAGCTATTTCCTTCTGGCATTGTTTGATGGTTTTGTCTTTTAGGGTGGGATGGCCAACCTTTTTTAAGGGGGCTATCGTAACATTCTGAGGGGTATGGTTGTAAATTCAGAACCACTGATGTGAAGATAAGGATTTTACAGAAACCTGAGATCCTCTCCTTTTCCATCTCCCCAATGATAAGGTCTAGTGTAAGTTCTTACTCTGTTTAGTATAAACACATATTTCAATATTTTTAAAATATTATAGCAATACTTCATAGTGTTCTGTAAATAGCACCATTGACTTATAAATTGGAAAAGGAGCAAAAAGTGCTAGAAAAATTGTTACTACTGCTGATTCTGCTGTGGACTGTGGGTTTCCTATTCTTGTGGCTCGGACTTCTCTCTAAATTTTCCTGTTGACATAGGAAAATTATTATCCTGCATTGCATCATATAAAACTATTTGGTCAGTTGTGAGGTACTTGGTAATGTTGCTGTTGCTGCTCTTATAACTGGTGCATAGTGATGAGGCGTCCTTCTCCCAACCCTCCCCCCATGTCCAAGGACTTGGAAATTAACTTTTGAGAGGTGAACAATTAAAACAACAAATAATTGATGATATTTGTCTAAGTAAATTTCCTTAAAATACAGCAAATATAGCAGAGGCAAAATTTTTATTATGAGTATGCCTAAACATGAAATAAAATCATGGTCTCCTAAAAAATAATTGGGGTGCATACAAAGTTTCATGCACAAAATGTCTGTTTCATTGTTACTTGTTTAAATAAAAATGGAAACAATTTGTATCAAGTGAGGAACTGATTTAGCAAGTTATAGTATATAGATATAACAGAAAGACCTATCACCACTAAAAATATTATAAAAAATTATTTATAAAAATTTTTTAGCGGTGTGGGAGAATATGTATGATAAAATGTTGAGTAAAAAAAAGGAACATAACCTTTTATATAAGGAAGTATCTCAACTAGCTTTTAAAAATGCACGGCATTTCCTTAAAAGGAAAAATACCAAAGTATTAATAATATTTAGGATAGGAGGAGTGATGGATGATTTTACTTTTTTGCCTTTAGATACTTTATACTTTTTGGTAAAAAAAAAAAAAAAAAAAAAAAAAAAAAAGTAAAAGAGGGAAAATACAGAAGGTTTAACATAACGAATAGAACCATAACCTAGGCAGGGATACTAGCATACTTGAAAAGACAATCTGTGAACAGAATAGAAATGTCTGATGGACCCTAGAGGAAGGACCTTCAAGAACAAGTTTGTCAGTTTCCTAGCACTTACAGGAAAGAGATTGATGCACCAAACCTGTGTGACAATATTAAAATGCTTACCAAGCAAAATTATGTTAATTGGCATTTTATATGTTCTGATAGATAGAATGCACTGGTTACTTCAACATGTTTCTTATGTTATTCCAGTTGATACATCAGTCTCCTGTGACTTGGTTGGTGGAGATCAGTTCTGGAGCAATCAGTCAGTGCTTGGTGCCCTGATAGGATCAAATTTCTGGAATTGCAAAGCTGAAGACTGGCTGCTGAGCTGCAGTAACCACACCAGGTAGTCTCTGACCACCGATGGCATTAGAACAACCACACCTTGCCTCCATCTCATTATTACTGCTTTTATAGTACAACCACAGTCTCAGAGTTTTCCCCTCAGCTGCCTCTCCTTTCTAAGCTTTCTAAGAGGTCCTTTTCAATTCTCAGGGGAAGACAGAATGGGAAGCAATACCTCCACACCTAAACCCGCCACTGGTGAGTTCAGGACAGGAACAATTATCTGCCTCACTGCTGAGTTAAAACGAAGTGGAAGAACTAGAAGTTATGCTGAATGGGCTGTAGTGGGATGGCACTGGCTACTGCATTTCTGAAGTTGGAAGAATCAGATTTTACCATGATGCAGAATTTATTGCCAGAAGGAGTGAGAAGGAACTGCCTGGCCCTCTAAACATGAGTAAGGATTATCTCTGTGCTCGGTATTAAACCAGGTGGGTAGTTTATGAGAATCTAGTTCACTTCCCTTACTGCTCCCTTATTTGTGGCATAGGCATGGGGAAAACCACTGTGGCTGTTTTGGACAAGGCACTGTTATAGCTGCCTTGCAAAACAAACAAGCAAACAAAAAAAGGCAGCAGTTTCAAGATCAAATTCCCAAGGACTTTGGGAAACACTGGTTTCTTTTCTCCCTAAAGGAATCTAGCCTGGAGATTCTCTGCTTAGGTTAGAGGGAGCATATCTCTCCAGGAGTTCCTACTAAAATCGTTGAGGAGGGAGACACATGAGATGTTTATGTTTATCAAAGAGACATATGGGTCTGCAAAACACTAGGCTCTTCTTTCATTTGTGTATCTGATCGGTTTGGTTTTTTTTAAAGATGACCGGTAAGGGGATCTTAACCCTTGACTTGGTGTTGTCAGCACCATGCTCACCCAGTGAGCTAACCGGCCATCCCTATATGGGATCCAAACCCGTGGCTTTGGTGTTATCAGCACTACACTCTCCCGAGTGAGCCACAGGCTGGCCCCTGATCAGTTTTTTTAGTCCCAGTTCTAATTTTTGTTTTAAAGGACCCAGGATCTTAGAAACAATGTTCACTCCTTTGTAGAGTTGCAGCCCCATCGTTAATCTCCACTGGTTGCTTGGATAGGGCGGGGCACTGAGGGACACTTAAGCTGGATTTCATGAGAAGGAGAAGATACATTAATTCCTTTCATGTTCTCTCATAGGCAGAAGAGCCAACCTCTCCACAGTAGCCCCAACGATCAGCTCTGCACCCTGTCTCTCTAACCATCCTAAGTAAATGAGCATTCTCCCATCCATTTCATCTTGTACCACATGGCAATTGATTTGGTGTTGACAGCTTTGGCTTGAGGACTTGGGCAGAGGGGCACTAGGGAGAAGGGACCAGAAACAGTGGAAGAATTAAATCAGTCTTTGATCTTAGGAGTATGGTTCTTAACTTGGTGTCCCCCAATCTTCAAGAGATCCATGAATCCCCTAAAGTTAGAGATAAAATTTGCTGTGTGTGGGCCTGAACATTGTGTGGACCGAACATTGTGTGGGTTTGGGGTGGGGGCTAGGGAGAGTCCACAGCTTTCACTCAGGCTTCAAAAGGACCTGGAACTCAAAAACAAGAAGCTGAAAACCAATGGTTGAGAATTAAAGTCCACTAACCAGTATGAAAGCCACGTCAGGGCTTTGTTCATAGGTGGAAAAGGTTACACTCTGGTCTTTAGGAAAGTCCTTCAAGAAGCCAGCAGTTCATCTGCTCCCTTTGTTTGCCAAAACAGCAAAGAACATTTAATCTTGGCCTTTTTTGTCGGGGTTCTATTGACGCTGATGCTGATGGCCCTTGTCTTCCTCATCATAAAGATCTATAGAAAATGTAAGCAGTCTCCAAGGGATGGGACAGCCCTTCTTTCTCTGCCATTGACAATTGGCTATGAGTGAATAACGGGAGGAGGTGGGGGGAGCAGGGGTGGGGTGTGATAAACCTGCTTAGCCCACCGTCTCTGCAGACTAACGATTCGAATCCCTTCATTTCTCTTCCCCCTGCCCTCCCCACCCCACCCCTTCACCCAAGGTTGAAGGGAGAGGCTCCCCATTCCCCCAGACCCCATGGGTGAGACTTGTCCCTCTTCTTCCTAGCACGTGTGGCAGGTCACTCCAGTCCCCAGACCCTGGATCCTCACTCAGATCCTCGAGCCGAGGTGAGATGACCACACTGTTTCTGAGATACTGGGGGGCTACTGCCATTGGAATTTCCCTCTATAGACGCTGCATTATTGACTAGAACAGTGGTACTGCTTTCTGGATACTGGGCAAGTGATTCTTTGAAAAGTTCTTCTGATTTCTTTGGGTCTCATCTGACCAAAGCTTTCAGGCTATTCCCAAAAAGATACCTTTTGCTCCAAATGGAATTCATTCATTCCTTCTTTTTCTCCTTCCACAGCTTTCATCCATCCCAGAGGAGTCACTTACCTACACCAGCATGGCTTTCAAAATGTCAGAAGAAAAGAGCAATCATTTGACTAAGAACCATTCTGCAGACTTAGACCCCATTGTCTATGCTCAGATTAAAGTGACAAACTCACCCTGCCTTTCCAATGAGCCATGAATTCAGTTCCTCTCATCTCCATCTTCAGACATCACTTTTCCTTTTTTACAAATTTTGGACACAACCTATGTGAAACTGCAGTCAGAATTATTTGTGTGATCTGGAAATGTTTTTTGTTTGTTTGTTTGTTTTGTGGCTGGCCAGTGTCCTTAACCAGGATCCAAACCCTTGACCTTGGTGCCACAAAGCCGTGCTGTAACCAACTGAGCCAACTGGTGATCTGGTAATGTTATCTGGAAGTTTTGAAGACCAATGGCCAGTGTTTTTCCTGGCCAGAGAAAAGATTGCTGACCCTTCCTCTGAACCGGCAGCCTGTTAGCCCCTTGAGCGCTGAGACTGCCTCCAAAGCATGTGGTTCAGAGCTCAGTGCACAGAAGAGCATTCACCCAGAGTCACTAATCAACTTGGGAGGAGTCACCCAAATGAACAACCTATCAAGAGTTTTAAATAAAGGCAAACCCTCACAATGTTGGCTCCTTCTTCATCATTTATTTCTCTGTCCCCATCATCTTCTCCAGAGGTCAGGACCAAAAGTCCAGAGCTCATCCACAGCCCCCCAAAAACTAGCAGAGGTGATGGTACTCTGGGACATGCTCGGGAGTGATTGGGGTACAGGTCTCAAATTCTGCCATTAACCAGCTGAATTCATTTAGGCAAGTTTGTTAAACCTTTTAAGCTTCAAATTTTTCATCTTGAAAATAGAGATAACACCTCTTAGAGTTTGAGGATTAAATGAGATATTATATACATAAGCACACTAACATCTCATAGTTCTATACAAATACAAGGTCCTTATTGTATAAAGCACTATTCAAATGTAGATTTCTATTTCCTTACTACAGGCATAAGAGATATGCATAACAACATCGTATGAGAGCCAAAGGTAAAGATTAATCCAGAGGTCAATTCCCTGCAAAATCCCAATGAATAATCACATAGAAAATCCCATAAAAATACCAGTAAGATTATTTTTCACCAGCCAAGCTTATTCTAAAGTTCCTAGGTAATCAAAAACCAAGAAAACAAATATAGGAAAATTTGTAAAAATAAATATCAGAAAGCTAGACCTAATGGCTAACTAAAAGTACCTGTTTTATTAAGCATGACTAATTAAAGATATATATTAATGGTGCGTGAATAAATAAATCAATGAAATAGAATTAAAGAATCAGAAATAGACCAAAATGCATAAGGAAATTTAGAATATGATGAAGATGACATGTCAGATCATTTGGGGGAAATTGATTTATTCAATAATTGGGGTTGAGACAAATAGGTATCCATGTAAATGAAAATAAAATTGGGTCCATATCTCACTTCTCATATCAAAATAAATTCCAGACATGTCAAAAATTTAACTGTAAGGGCCGGCCCATGGCTCACTCAGGAGAGTGCAGTGCTGAGAACCCCAAGGCCCCCGGTTCAGATCCGATACAAGGATAGCCGGTTAGCTCACTGGCTGAGCACAGTGTGGGTAACACCACACCAAGGGTTGCGATCCCCTTACTGGTCACGAAAAAAGACAAAAAAAAAAAAAAAAGAAAGAAAATAAAATAAAATTTAACTGTAAGAAAATCATAAAAGTACTAAAAGAAAATATGGAGGAATTTTTTGAATAATTTCAGAGTGGAACATGTCTTTGAATGTATGACACAGAGCCCAGAAATCAGAAAAGACTAACTTGACGTATACCACTAAAAAGTTAAAATACAAATGACACATTTATAAAACATTTGCAGGGGCTGACCCTGTGGCGCACTCGGGAGAGTGTGGGGCTGATAACACCAAGGCCATAGGTTTGGATCCCGTATAGGGGTGACCGGTTAGCTCACTGGGTGAGCGTGGTGCTGACAACACCAAGTCAAGGGTTAAGATCCCCTTACCAGTCATCTTTTATAGAAAAAAAAAGAAAGAAAGAAAATTTCACAGCACACCAGGAGGTTACAGTCACTATTCTCATTTTAGATACAAAAATGGAGGCACAGAAAGATTAAATAACTTGCCCAATTTCACACCGCTAGTAAGTAGTGGCACTGGGATTCAACCCCAGGTAGGCTGGCTCCAGAGTCTGAGCATCTATCGATTATGCTCAACTCTGTGGAAAAGAGAAAGATTGAGAGCACTCTAGATGTCCATTGAGAGGGGACTGGCTAGTGGAGTATGATGCAGCCACTAGAAAGAATGAGGCAGCTCTACATGATCTGATGAAAAAAGGTCTCCAAGATATATTGTTAAATGAAAAGTGTGAGTTGTTGGACAGAATCTGTATATGCTCTACCCATGTATTGTAGAGAATATGTGCATGTGTTTTTATATATTTAGCATATCTCTAGAAGAAAACACAACGACAGTAGTCCCCTTATCAGCAGTTTCTCTTTCCATGATTTCAGTCACCCACAGTCAACTGTGGCCTGAAAATATTAAATGGAAAATTCCAGAAATAATCTGTAAGTTTTAAATTGTGTGCCATTCTGAGTAGACCGATGAAATGTCATGCTGTTCTGCTCCAACCCACCCCAGGGCATGAATAATCCCTTTGTCGGGTGAATCCATGCTGCATCCCTCCCACCCTCACCCCGAGTCACTTAGTAGCCTTCTGGATTATCAGATTGACTGTTCCAGTATCAACAAGTGCTTGTGTTCAAGCAAACTTTCTTTTACTTGATAATGGCCCCAAAACATAAGAACAATGATGCTGGCAATTCAGATATGCCAAAGAGAAGCCATAAAGTGCTTCTTTTCAGTGAAAAGGTGAAAGTTCTTAATGATGAAAGAAAAAAATCGTGTGCTGAGTTTGCTAAGATCTATGGTAAGAACAAATCTTCTACCTGTGAAATTGTGAAGAAGGAAAAAGAATTCATGCTAGTTTTACTGTTGTACCTCAAACTGCAAAAGTTATAGCCACAGTGGGTGATAAGTTCTCAATTAAGATGGAAAAGGCATTAAGTTTGTAGGTGGAAGACATGAAAAGAAACATGTTCCAATTGACTGCAAGTGGGTGTGGCACTATCCACGGTTTCAGGTATCCACTGGGGGGTCTTGGGACGTATCCCCTGCAGTTGGGGGTGGGGGGACTACTATAACTGGTGCCCTTGGGGAGAGGAATTTGGTACCCGAGGTACTGAAGGTCACGGGTGGGAAGGAGGTATGCTTTTCCTTAAAAGCCTTTTTGTAACTTTTTAAGTTCTTTTACCATGTTGAGGATCTTCGGGTGGCCCAATACCTAGTACTCCCATTATTCCATACCTTAATCCTGAACCAACTGAGAAATAAGAAAGAGCACTCAGCAGATAGAGACCAAAATAGCATCTTTATTATGAACATACTCAACAATGGAAAACATAGCTTAAATTGTAACTGCAAAGAAGTAGGCTTCAGAATACTGAATTTCATAACTGATACAGCTGAACCAGGGCAAGTCCCCTCCCTTCCCCACAACCAATTCAGTGGCTCAGCCTGCTCGCAAGGAGTTACAGAACAGATCATGTGCTCATTGACTATTGCAACCAAAAGATTAAAAAAGGAAGAGGAAGGGGCAAAGTATGTATGCCCAGTTCCTACTTTCAGTCTCACGTCAGACAGGCCACTCTGCTTCCCATGGAGAGTCATTGAGGAGTGTCACCCTAATGGATCTCGATCTACAGGGGTAGAAGCAGGAGTGGGAGAGAAGCACCCACCTCAAACCTCTTTTTAAAATACATTAAATAATATTTTTAGGGCCAGCCCATGGCTCACTCGGGAGAGTGCGGTGCTGATAACACCAAGGCCCCGGGTTCGGATCCCATATAGGGATGGCCGGTTCGCTCACTGGCTGAGCGTGGTGCTGACAACACCAAGTCAAGGGTTAAGATCCCCTTACCGGTCATCTTTAAAAAAAATAATAAATAAATAAATTAATAATAATAATAATAATAATATTTTTAAAAATCAAGGGAAGGAAATTGGAGCTCAAAGAGATGAAATAATTCACCCAAATTATCACCCAGCTAGTAAGGGGCAGAACAAGAATCTAAATCAAGTCCTGTGACCTCAAATTCCTTGCATCCTACCTCCACACCAAGCTGCTCCACAGCACTTAGAGTGGCAGGGAAACTAGAAAGGCAAAGTCAGGTGACATAATAGAGAGCGTATGTTCTTTCTGAGAGAGAGCAGCTGCTCCTGGCAGCTGGATTTTGAGGTAGAAGCCAGTGGAAGAGAGTTTGATAAAGGAGTAGGCTCCTTGTGAGAATGAACACGTCTAGGAGAAAGGCCTGTGTAGGGAAGCAGTGCTATGCATAGGGAAGCAGTCCTATGCGTGGGCCACGGCACACAGAGCAGCCAGCCGCACGAGGGCAGCCGGACCCAGGAATGGCCTTCTCCCGTCGGCTGACCAGAAAGTACACACGGAGAGGGCGCTGGTGCTGTCGGCTTTCCCAAACTCCGGGCTGACATCAAAGAGTTCTGCCAACCCTGAAGCTAGATGCCACATCAGCTTTCCAGCCCAGAGCCAGTGCCTTATAAACACAGCTGCGAGAGTAGGTGTGAGCCTTGTGAGGTGGCCGTCCACTTGTACATGAAAAAGCAAATTAATTATCCTTCCTTCTTCCATCTTCCCATTTTTAACATTACAGCCCTAAACAGTGTCTTGTTTTGTCTCCGTATCATGAGAACTGGTGGGCAACCAGCCGTGCTGGAAGATAAAATGAGTAATTAAATAATTGACCACAGATTCAAAAGGTCTCTGCTAGGTGAGGGAAGAAAAAAGGCTCTTGAATTCTGGATCATTGAATCAGAACAAACCTGTAGGATTCTCAGGGGAAATCATCCTCCAAACAGTATAAGTGTAAATCTTCCAAGACATCTGTAGATGTCTTCACCTGTCATGGGAGACCTACATCTGCCATCTCACCTTGAGTAATTGGATGTCCTAACTGAGCCCAAACTGGATTCCTATTGGCAGAACCTGTGGGCTAGTGACCCCTTTGTGTAACTTCTTTTTTTTTTTTTAAAAAAGATGACCGGTAAGGGGATCTCAACCCTTGGCTTGGTGTTGTCAGCACCACGCTCAGCCAGTGAGCAAACCGGCCATCCCTATATAGGATCCGAACCCGCGGCCTTGGTGTTATCAGCACCGCACTCTACCGAGTGAGCCACGGGCTGGCCCACCTTTGTGTAACTTCAATACGTGGCCACAGGGGAGGGATTGGGTTCTTTTGTGGCTGATGGAAAAGAAAGCACTTTTGATGTTGTTTGATCTGAGACTCTGGCAGGGAATGGGCTGTATGGAAATGCAGAGGCATGATATCCACACTCTCATCTCTTCCCAGAAGGCTGTTGAGTAGCTTTGAGTCCCCTACCTACGGAGAGTGGAGTTAGGATGGAAGCTGAAGGAACTGTGTTCATGAAAGACTGTGAGAGTCTGTATCTAAACACCCAGGGCATGTGC